CACACACACACACACACACACACACACACACACACACACACACACACTCATCCACCATGTGTTTATGTCTTTTCCCAAATGTGCCTTCATATTACCTCCTGTAACTTATACTTCTCAGCCTCAGTCCTCTTCCATGAGGTTTCAGACCATCCAGTTCACATCCTCAGAAAATCACTGGGTGTTTAAATAAGCCCAGCATCCTTCTGAGGTAAAACTACAGCTCTCCTTCCCCACATCATGCTACCTCTCTACAATCAGGTATAAGACAAATAGTATGCCTACTCTCACCACTTCTATCCCACAGAGTACTAGAATTATTAGAAGAACAGTTAGCTGTTCACAGAAGACATATTACACCAAGAAGGCCCTAATGATTCCAAAGCAAGGAAACATACATTTAAACTAATAAATCAAAAACACAAAAACCAATGTTACATTAATAAAAGAAAGCAATGCCAGGTATGGTGATACACACCTGTAACTTTAAAAAATAAAAAGTATATAAAAACAGGATGGGAAGAAAGGAAAATGAGTTGGGAAGGAGAGGAAAAAACAAACAAAACAAAACAAACCACCGAGGACTTGAGGTAGCTCAGGGGTAGAACGGTGTATATGGGAGGCCTTAGGTTCAGTCTCCAACACTATACAGAAAGACAGAAACTGAAAAAGCCATCCTATTCTCCAAAAATATTACTCAGGACTAAATTTAATTACAGAGATGAAATATCTATCTTTCAAACTGTAAGGGGGGGGGTGGTGTATGCCTTTAATCCCAGCATTAGGCAGGCAGAGGCAGAGGCTTGAGAATATCTGTGAATTCTAGGCCAGCCTGGTCTACAGAGCTCTAGGACAGCCAAAGCTACACACACAGAAATGCTGTCTTGAAAAACCAAAAACCAAAAACCACCAAAATCAAACTGTAAGGTAACTGAGGACAGAAACTAAAGACCAAATGCAACCCACCACCCAAAGACGTTCACCCAGTGTAACCCCCATCACAATTTCAGTGGCATTCTTCACAGAGCCTCTAGAACCATATGAAGATTCACAGAATCCTAAGAATGAACAAAGTTAACATTGCTCTTTCTGGCTTCAACTTATATTACAGAGATATAATGAAATGGCATAAAAACAGGCCAAAAGAACAAAACAGGGAGGCTAGAGTGAACCTAATAAGCACTACAGTCAACTTACACCAAGAGCATCAGAAAGACAAGCTGGGACATGGAACCTCTTCTGTGGAGAACGAGGTGTCCTCACACAAACTATCAAAATGAATAAAAGGCTTAAACACAGGCTATTATATTCACAGGAGGGGAGGCTAACCTGCCCCACATGGCTTTAGCAATGATTTTTTAATAAAAATTATTATTTTAATTATGTGTATTGGGAGGGGTAGTATGTGCAAGTACCTACAAAGGTCAGAGGTGTGAGAGCCTCCTGGAGCTGGAGTTACAAGCAGTTGTAAGCTGCTTGATGTGGGTGCTGGGAATCAAACTCAGGTTCTCAGGAGGAGCAGTATGTGCTCTTAACCACTGGGCCATCTCTCCAGTCCCTGACTGTTTTTTAAAGCAAAAATTAAACAATGAAGAGTACATTAAGCTAAAAAACACTATATATAGCACAAAGAAAAGGTAGTCCTATATAGGCTGGGAGAAATGTCTGCAAATCATGTAGCTGATAAGGGTTTAACATAAAAAATTTGGAATATACACAATTCAATAGAAGAAAGAAAGAAAGAAAGAAAGGAAGGAAGGAAGGAAGGAAGGAAGGAAGGAAAGAAAATAATCAGACAGAGGACCTGAACAGATATTTCTTCAAAGAGACAGAAGTGGTCAACAGTTTTATGAAAAGATACGCAGGGTCACCAAACATCAAAACAAGCTATGGCTACCTCACATCCTTCCGGCTGGCTACTACTAGAGGTAGGAGGTAGCAACTGTTGGTGAGGATACAAGGAAAAGAGAACTCTCTCACAATATGCATGGGAACGTAAATCAGCATAGTTATGAAAAAGCAGAGGCCCTCAAAAAGCTAAAAAGAGGGAAAACCAAATCAATCACATGACCCAGCAGCCTTTCCAAATATGTACTCAAAATCAACGGGTCATCACCTTTTAGAGTAGTGGTTCTCAGCTCCTTTGGAGGGGTGGGCCACATATCCGATATTTACATTCCGGCTCATATCAGTAGCAAAACTATAGTTATGAAGTAGCAAGGAAATAATTTTATGGTTGAGGATTAGGAAGGTTGAAAACCACTGTTTTAAAGGGACAAACTCCCCCACGCTCACTGCAGTTATTTCTCATGATAGCCAATTTACTGAATCAGCCCAAGTATCCTTAATAATGAATGAAGAAACTGTGGGATATGTAAGAAACACTATTCAGCATTAGCAAAGATGATCACCTGTCATTTGTGACAATGTGGAGGGACCAAAGGACATCACGCTAAGTGAAATAAGCCCAACAGAGAAGAAACAAACTGTTGAATACAGAGAAACCAAACAATGGTGACAAGGTATGAGGGCGAGGGCAATGAGCAACAAAGTCAGGACTAGGCAGGGTAAGTAATGTGTGCTAATGTGGCCACAGAGAAAATGTATATGAATTCACTTGATAGTAATTGTTTTATCAGGTATAAAATCATAATCCCAAGTAAAATGTTGTGGGGATGGGGACAGGGAGAACATGGGACATGGCACAAAAAGCAGGCTGGCACAGCCTGTCTGGATAGAAAGCAGCTAGCTACCTGGCCCCACCGTAAGGCTCTGTCATCTCCCACACACTAAAACCCAAAGGTTCCCATATCCTGGGCTTGTACTTCCATTCCCAGCCACGCCTTAAGCACACAGCCAGCCTTGTACACTGAACACTTGTTTCAGTCATCTGAGTTCTGTATCTTACCCTACGATCCAGGAGCTACAGGTGTTCTAAACCCCGACGTACCAGTGTTCATGCACTCACTACAGTCCCATACAAACCCTAGGTAGGCCTAGGCACTAAGTTAGGGTCATCCTCCAACTCGTGATCTGCGCAGCCTGCTACAACAAAATACCTTACATGTGGGTGGTTTTTAAACAGACACTAAGTTTTCATAATTCTGAAGGTGTCAAGACCAAGGTACCAGCAGATTCTGAATCTGGTGAGGGCTCAGGGTCCTTATAGATAGCAAAGTCTTGCTATATCTGGGTTCTCTTACTAGGGCACTAATCCCATTCATGGGAACGCCACCTTCGTGAATTACCACCCAAAAGTAATGACCCCCTAATACCACTCAGATGTTTAGATTGGAACATACGAATCTGGAGGTCAGTCATTCAGATTGCTTTAGACCACCACCTGTGAAAAATAATAGCAATACAGGCACAAACACACACAAACTTAATTGAAAGTTGAAATTTTACATGCCAGTCGATTATTTACATTTAAGGATTTGCCTGTATTCATAATGTTCAGCATAACTCACCCAAGAAAGGAAGACAAGGGCTGAGGAGAGCCCCAAACACAGACAACACCAGGAATCCTACCAAGACTTCTTGGTTCCAAATGTCAGAATAGGCAAGGAATAGAACCCTCAGGACATGGGATTTCAATAAAAATGATTGGCATTTTGTCTAGCCCAGTGCAGAATATGAAATACCTGGTCAAATTGCACAGTGCTCCTCTAAGAGAGTTGTCAAACACAGCAAGTGGTTTTTCAACTCTTCAAATGATGGCATACTAACTCTAACATCAGTAATTACAATCTTAGTGTCAATACAAATGAAACTAAAGCCAAATAGTGAGTCAGCTGCTTGGTAAGCCTGAGGGCCCCAATGTAACTCACACCCGAAGAACACCAATTTCCCCATAAAATAACAAAAATTGAAAAGTATTTTTAAACTGCTAAAGGCTTGCTTTCACAAGATAACAATGCCAATTTGGCTAGGTGGCCTAGCATTTCTGGGAGGCACCTGGCAACCTGCCTCCCAGGTAAGTGGCTACATAACTTCCTTCTGAGAAATTAAATTCTTTTCCTTTCTAAGTAAAGATCAAACCACAGAGTCCACTGGAAGCTTGACCACAGCTTGATTACAAAATCTACCCATTCATTGGATTTGATGATGGCATGCCTTTAATCCCAGAACTTGGGAGGCAGAGGTGGGTGAATTCGAGGCCAGGCTGGTCTACAAAGAGAATCCAGAACAGCCAAAGCTACACAGGGAAATCGCGTCTTGAAAAACCAAAAAAAAAAACCTACCCAGGTGCCACAGCGGCACCACACCTCATGAACTCAGCTCCTCTTACTCTGAGCAGCTCACAGACTGGGCTCCAGCTGTGTCTCCCATATCTGCTACTGCTATGGCATCACATGCCATTCATGGGCCTCAGCCCTTAGAGAAAGCACTGATACAGCTAACCAGCTCAGTTCTAGCACCACTCTAAAATGCAAACCAACCCCCCCCAAAGCAATTTCCTCTAACAAGAGCCTAGATCACTGAGAATGTAGCCCAGGACTTCAAACTACCTACTTTTGACATGAACACAGAAAATAACAAGTTGGGCACCTATCTATGGCTTCCACAGACTCTGCTGCCCTGTTAGGCTGTTTGGTGCACTTATGGTAATTGTCCAAGTTCCCTGAACAGTTGCAATGGTGTTTGAACCTCCAACAGAGCACGTAAGACTGTTTGGTCAGATGCCTGACCTACTTGACTGTTAGCAGGACTAATTAGGCTACCCCTCAGATTCATATGCTGTCAAATGCTGTGACACCTTAGCAATGTGTCAAGCCAGTCTATGACGCACCAGAGATTAGTATGGGCGATTAGCACAGAGAACAGACTTGGTGGTCTCTTTCCTTCAGGGGCCACATTAGCACAGGAGCACGTGCTAATGCCCCTGGTAGACAGCAAGGGCCGAATCACCCATGAACACATACTCCCTCACACTCCAATATGCCTGGCCTGGGCTCAAGGAGGACATGAATCAGCACCCAGCCTTTCTTGTTCTGCCTCCATTCTCCTAGAATCACTTTACCAGTTAGTAGCAGACCCCACAAATCCCGCCCCCATCTAGCAAAGCACTTATTTTTGGCCTGTTAGTGTCTACAAGCTTTCCCTAAGCTCTTTGGGTTGCCAGTATAGATGAGTCTTCTCTGATAACACTGTCCAGATGCCTCACTGGGGCTGTGGACACGCGGCCTTTGTTCTAGGCAGGGTTTTATGGCTTACAGACTGTATACCACCGAACACAGCCCCACCTGACCGGAGCAGAACAGGGAGGCCCGAGCCTTTTGCCGGCCTGGTGACCCTCTAAGAACTGAGCATTCTCCTTAAAGTGTAATTACTCTCCAGCTCCTGCTTCTTTCAACTCCCTCCACTGTACTGTCTCAAGATTCTTTTTGATTGTTCTGTATGACAAACTCCCTGCCTCCCCCTTTACCAATGCCGCTTGCAGTATTAAGTCCTAGACAAAATCACACAATTTCCTAAAATCTGTCCATACCCATGAAAGACATCTTTATAGGAGTCCACTTTACGGCCCAGGACAATAATACCAATTATAGCAATCTTGCTAAACTCAGACTCTTTCAAAATCCCTAAAGGGATTTTTGTCTGGAAAAGTTTTTCACCATGATCACCCCAGGAGAGTCCCTGAGCACAGGACGGGTAGAGACTGTCAAACTGTTTTCTGTTAACTTGAATTTCTGCTCTTTAAACTACACACTGAATCTGTTCTCTGAGAGCCCGCTTCACAACCCTAAGATATGGATCTGGTCATCCTGCTACAACTATCACTGGCTTTATAGCCTCAGCTCTTCAGGTGGAAAATGAGGCACCCACCTGGCAAGCCTTTAAAGGTAAACCAAGAATTAACCCTAAAGTGCCTGCTATAGTTTGACACATAATATCTGCTATGGTCTGAAGGTATCAAAAGTTTACCTAATCCCCAATGTATTAGAAGGTAGAGTCCTAGAGTGATTAAGTCATGAGGGCTCTGTTCACATTAAACTGTCATCTCTTCCTTCTCAAAGGACCAGTGTCCCTTTCCTCCTAAGATGTGGCCACAAAGGCCTCATCTTAGAAGCGCAGTACAGTTCTCACCAGTCTTTTTCTGTGATAGTGGGGATGGAACCCAGTGCCTAGTACAGGTGGTCTTATTACTCAGCTCAACCCTGCTTGTTTTTTTCTTTCCTGTTTCTCTTTCCTTTTTTTTTTTTTTTGTTGTTGTTGTTTGGAGACAGGGCTTCTCTGGGTAGCCCTGGCTGTCCTAGAACTTTAGTCCAGAGCTGGCCTTGCAGAGATCAGGCTGTTCTCTGCCTCCCAAGTGCTAAGGAATCCTGCTTTCTTCCTTTTTTAAAAGATGTTTGTTTGTTTTCTGTTTGTTGGTATTTTGCCTGTATGCATGTCTCTGTGAGGGTGTCAGATCCTCTGAAACTAGAGTTATAGACAGTTGTAAGCTGCCATATGGTTGCTGGGAACTAAACCCTGATCCTCTAGAAAAGCAGCCAGTGCTCTTAACCACTGAGCCATCTCTCTAGCCCCAGAATTCTGCATTCTTACCCCTAGCCTCCCAGACTACAGATCCTGAGAAAGACACTCCAATTGTTTACAAGGTAAAATTTTGCCATAGCATACGATGCCTAACTTGGGGCCTGGCCCCAAGTACTTGATGTACCAAAGCTGCTATTAACAATGTGAAGAAGGAAGAATTTGTGCTTGGCTGACGCCCTGACTTCTTTGCTGCAATAAAACCCTGCACTAAGCACTGCAGTCACACCCCAAACTTCCTAGCTTGGCTCTCTTGACTCTGGGCTGCCTCCACAGATGGAACCTCCAGGGTTCTGAGAAATCAAATACTATCAGGCTCATCCAAGTAAGGTGCTCCAGGCCATATCCTACCCTTTGAGGCTTACAATCTAGGTTGTTCTAGACTTATAGGCAAGAACAAGATGCAAACAATAGTCTTATTTTTAACCTGTTATCCATAAGTTTGTCAAGATTTAAGCTAATTCAAGATTTAAGTACAGGAAGTACATAAGAGACCCTATTAAACTTGTACAAACCCACTGCCTTCAACCTCTGCATTTCCACATGTATATGTTTGCATATGTACATCTGTGCATCCTTGTCCCCCCTGCACACAAGTATATACAGACCACATATATACGCCCACACACACAACGGATACTATCACACATAGTTTTCCTTTACAAATATGGACAGTGACTATGACCTTATGACAATTTTAATCATAATTCTGTGAATTCTAATATAAAATTACAATATACATTATTAACAGTTCATATAGTATTTATGTGTGTGTGTGTGTGTGTGTGTGTGTGTGCACTTGTATATTGTATGACATAATTCTGACAAGACACCAGATACTCAAAGGACTCCTTAGGCTGTGTCCTGCATGAAACAAAAAAGGATCCTAAGAGAGTACATGTTCCAGGATGGAAACTATTGCTGTGCATCCCACAGGAAAGGGGACGGCAGAGGAAAATAACAGCAGCACCCACATGCCTTAGGCCTGCCAACTCGTACTCTCTTACTCTTTCCACAGCACAGCATATCAGAGCCAACAAAGAATACTCCTGGTGTGTCAGACACCACAGTTCTAACACCATCTCCTTGCTATTATAATCCCATCCTTTGCCTGGTATAAATTCTTCCACTGTAAGTAACAATCACTTTCTATGTATGTATGTATGTATGTATGTATGTATGTATGTATGTATGTATGTATGTATCTATCTATCTATCTATCTATCTATCTATCTATCTATCTATCTAAACAGGGACTCTCCACATAACTCTGGCTGTTCTAGAACTCACTGTGTAGACTAGGCTGGCTTTGAACTCACAGAGATTGGCCTGTCTCTACCCCAGAGTGCTGAGTTTAAAGGCGTGTACCACAATGCCTAGCTGATAATCATACTTTAAAATCATTCTGAAGTATTTTCATTCAACATCCATCCCCAAAGAGCCTCCAGGCAAGCTTCATTTTGTTTCAGGTACAAAAACAGCTCCCATGATTGATGATTACCTTTAACAAGCAACTTGTCTCTCACAGAAACCCTCCGAGTAGAGTCAGATGTGGAGGCTGACGTCCGGGATCCTTTGAGACCGTCATCCCGCTTCAACTTGCTTGCCAGCGTTAGCATTACTGCCACCTTTCTTCTAGAAAACAGGCAAGAGTAGGATTAAGGGCCATGTCTCCAAATACTGGACAGAAGAAATATACAGGTGTTTTAACTTTAAAGTCTCTAAAATTTGTAAAAACTTTCTACACATATTAACAAACTCCACAAGGAATCTGAATAAGCTCTGTGATTCTTTGTAAGTTTAGGGGAGCCACAAGTTTCATACTCACTAGGCACAGGGTGGGTGCTACTCGAACCACAGTCTAGCCTTACCCACCCCAAGCTTTCCAAATAGCACTCATTCTCTATCCCGACTGATTTCAAATGAAGTAACTGTCCCCGAAGCAACAGGATCCAAGTGGTGGCCTGGGAGCAGAAGTCTCTAGGCCAGGAGGGGACACCTGTGCTTTGCTTTCCTTCTCCCTCAGAGGAAAGCGTACAGTGCCTTCAAAGGATTGTTGCATTTACTGATTTGCAATGTCAACGTCAAGAGCAAATTATAAACCCCAAAGTGAACTGACTCTTCACTGGCAGCTTCTAGAACGTGTGAGTTTCGGGTTCCCTGGCTGCAAACTCCCTGGGAAGGACAGAAAATCTAAAGGCAGGTAATGCTCCTGACTGCATGCACAAAGGGCTGCCACTCGACCCAGAATCCTTCAATTGTTTATTTGAAGAGCACCATTAGAGCAAAAGAATCATCCGGCAGAAGGTACAGCACTCCCCATTCTCATTCCCAGCATTCCCTACAAGGTTATTGTTCTGATGGACCCGAGTGAAGGCATTATCACCCAGTACAGTTTACATTAAGATGTCAGCAGTTCCTACCTCCAGAATCTGCCTTCTCTTCCTATTACACACTTCCATCAACAGACACTCCTCATACTAACACACTCAAAGAAGGACTCCTGCATGAGTAAGTGGGTCAATATTTGCGTAATTTTCTCTCTTATTTTACAGCACTTCCTTTCAATACCAGTTTGATAATTTTTCAGTCAGAAAGGATCTAAAATTTACAAATGAAAACTTTTACCTGAGAGGTCAAAACTTGAGGCTAAGACCCTGAAAGCAAGAATATTCCTCTTCACTGATATTTTAAAAAGCATCTCATGCAGGCCTTTGCCTAGTTTCTCATGCCACCTTCTGTGTATCCCTAGTGATGGTCAGATTTGAGTCAGAATCACATATCACAAGAATAGGCCAGTGAATATGATCTTCCATATTGCACGAAACTCTGCCATACTGAGGACTGGTCACACAACACAGGGACACAGGCCTGGAACATCAATATTTGGGAGGCTGAGGCAGGAGGATTGTCAGTTGACAGCTATCCTGGGCTACACTGGGAGATCATATACCAAAAATGCAAAATAAAAATATCAAAACAAAACAAAAAAGTAGCACTTTTCTAAATGCACCAAACAGTTCTTGTATTGCATGTCAGTACACATAAGCTCACAGCACTGAAATCTAAGAAAGATTCTCCTCTCTCTCTCTCTCTCTCTCTCCCCCTCTCACTCTAGAGCAACAGGCCTGGAGGGTGACTGTCCAAGACAAGAAGCACTCACCACAAAAACCTAGTTTTCCTTTAGCAGTACGTGTCATGGCATCGGTTTACACAAACACTGATCAATCAAGAAGTGATGGGACAGCTCAATCATACCTCAACAAAGTTGACACACACTTAAAAGCACACTAGCACCTGTTTCTGCAGTCCCACTCTACAAGGCCTTCTCCTTAGGGACAATCTATGTTATGAGATGAGCCCACACACAGATCTTCAGTTCTACTGCCAAGTGCCCTGTCCTCCAAGGGGGCTTTAGCCTACAAGCTACCAAAACAGCAGAACATATAACAATAGCCCCCACCTGGAACCATCTTGTCAGGAATTCCTCAAGCAGGATCATGAGGGAATGCCTGCCACCCTGGCCAAGTCTAAGTCCATTACTACGTGCCCAAACCTTGGAACATTAGGGGTGTCTGACAATGGACCAGGATAACAAGCTTATCTATCTCTGGGAGTCAGTGAGGAGTATGGGATGGTTTTCAACTTTGGTGTCAGAGAAGGAAAAGGTATAAAGTGAAAAAGGAGCTTCACTTAAAATGAGGCCAGGGCACAAGCTGCTCTACACCCTAAGGAAGATCTGGCAAGAGTCAGGCCTTCCCCACCACTGCTGCCCAAGGGCTGTGCTTAATGCTTTCCCACCCCTCTACACTAAAGCCTCATCTGAGGCAGAGGCTGGGTATTCCACTCTGCGGGGTGTCAGTTTGAGCTGGTAATCGTCAGTAAGTTGTAGACTTTTCCAATAAAACATGTTGTGCAGGGTAGAAAATAACACTGGTGTTGTCTTGACAGAAAATACAACATGCACTTTCCAATATTCTAGGGCATCTCAGACTATCCCCCTATTTTTCTATCATCTGTATCACTTTCAGATGCCATGGAAGGGACAAACCAAAGTCTCCATGTCGAAATGTTCCCATCAGAAAATTAAATCTACACACAAAACAATCAAACAAAACTAATTATTCAAACTATCAAAGGATAGAAAACTACCTATTCTTCCCTCCCCAACATGTCCTACCTCTGGAAAACCCGCTTTTGACCAAAACTTCCCGTTTCTCGAAAATCGCACTGTGACTAAGGCAGTGTTTTGGGAACAGATCAGCTATTCTGAACAGCATGCTTAGTTTCTAAATTCCACAAGTTGTAATTGGCCCAGTTAGTTCCTCCTCTGGGTGGGACCGCCTTTTAGGCCATCCAAAGAGGATTCCCGATTATTATTTACGAGTCTTATCAAGCTATGTTTACTCATCATTCATATGCAGCTGTGGTGAAATCAGGTCCGAGTCACCTGTGCAGGGCCAAAAAGCTCAAAGTGAGGCTAACGCCTCACCGACGGTTCCAATCCAAATCCCAATATAGGCCATTAAGAGAGAACTACAGGTCACTAGGGACAGGGAAACAAGAGATGGACATAAAAATGTCCACACCCCAGGACCGGCACGGGTGCCCAGTCGTCTCTCGCCCTTCAGGCTTACTGACTGACCACCTCTGGAGTCTACCTTCGGTTTCGGGTCTCGAATGTCATATAGCTCCGTCCAAGTGGGGTTCCTGAAGCTCCCCCATCACTATCCCTCTTAATCTCCACCTATGAATCTCTCTGCTTCCGCTGAGATCTCCACCTTCGGCCCCACCAGCTAGGACGCCTCAGCACCAGGCCCACCAGCCGCCTCGCTGTTCTTCAACACTACCCTGCTCATTTCTGGAACCTTCTGCTCAATCTGACAACAGGCCTTGGGACGCCCTCTTTCCCTTCGCCACCGTCCCCTCCCAGGTTTTAAAGGAGAGCGGATTTTAACCTACAGGCCGAGCTCCCCTCCGCCAAAGCTTCACCGGCTACTCCAAACCACCGGCAGCGCCGAGGGGCGGGCCCAATGCCCACCCGAGACGGAGGAAACTGAGCCCGCCGAGGAGAAGGCCACACCCCAGATGACACGCCGCGGAACCGGGTCACGGACGGAACCGGGCCAGGCGGGTCGGCCGCCCCTCCTCGCCGCCGGGGCCGGCCGCGTCCACCCCAGCCTGCGCCGGGGGAGCGGCCTCCCCGCCGGCCCGAGCTCCACACCGTGACCTTGCGGCGGCGCGGCGGCGCGGGGTCCTCCTCGGCCCGGCCCTCGGCGCCGTGGGGGCTCGCCGCCGGCCCAGCGCTTCCCGTCAGCCGCCGACCGCGCGGTCCCACCTGGCACCCGGCAAGCGGCGCCGCGCCGCAGCCCAGCCCGCGCGACCCGCTCACCTGAGCACCGCGAGTCAGGCGAGGCGGGCCGACACCCAAAACCATGCCCGGCCGGCGGCGGCGGCGAGACGCGAAGCCCTCACAGCCGCACCGGCTCCCGGCGGCGGGACCGGAAGTGAAGGGGCGGGGACTGCGCCGTGACCGCTGCGGGCGCTTTAAAAAAAAAAAAAAGTTTTTTTTTTTTTCAAAGCTGTAAAGAACTTTATTGGTAGCTTCACGCACAGACAGCCGCGTACGCAGGCAACTAAGAGGCCGTCGCTCATTGGTGAAGGGGAGCCAGAGCCTTCGCTGACTGGGCACGGAGGCGCCTGCGTCCCAGAGCCCGGAGCGCGGCTTCCCTGCTTGTTTCCATTCATTTGGTGGTTTGGTGGCCTCGGAGTACCGTGCTAGGGCAGTGCCTGCGGGTTTCCCTCACCGTGCCTGAATGCACACCACCCGACCTGTCTGCGGCTGCATTAGGGCGATGGGGTAGTTAGAGCTGCAAATTACACCATGTGGCTGCTGGGAGTGGGGGCCACTCTTCTTTTTTTTTTTTTTTTTTTTTTTTCGTATTCCCATGTGTAGTTTAAAAACCTGGGAGTTGTGGTGCACACCTTAAATACCAGCCCTCGAGAGGTAGAGGAAGGCCTGGTCTACACAGTTCCAGGAGAGCCAGAGCCATGTAGAGAGACCCTACAAAAATCTGCCTCAGGTCCCTGGATATAGAGCAATGGTAGGGAACTTTCTTAGCATATGTGAGGCCTTATAGTCCCGCGTGCAGCTTCCGACCTGCAGCTCTTGGGGTATGAATTCTCTGTTTTTGTGGACTGGGGATAGCCGACTTTGTCAGAGAAAGGCTGTTGGGTCCCCGGTGGAAGCCAAGAAAAGTCACTTTAGAGACAGAAGCATAATGAAAGCTTTGTTTTCTGTGTGCGCAGGGAGGCGGCCAGTTCGGGATCTGATCTGTGTCCCCGAAAGGAAATTGTATAAACATTTTTAAGGATGAAAATATAAAGCAAAGGGGAGCAGGGTGGGCTGTTGCATTCACCAATCAAATTTTGACACAAGGGGTTAAGCAAGGAGCTTAACCTTGGTGACTGGCTAAAGGGTCACCTGGTTTTTCAGGGTCGTTGGTACAGCTTTTCCAGTCAGGTCCCCTCCTGGACACTGACCTGGAATTTAGAATGATAAACATCTGAAGATAGAGGATAGGAGTTGGGACCTGGGAATTCAGTTCTGACCCTGCCAGCAAGATGTAACTTGTTCGTGGGATGGCTGGACTCAGGAAACTGTCTCCGAACAAGGCAAGTCTCCTAGAGAGATAGGACCTTGGGAAGAGGATATTTGCCATGGAAAAGGCCAAGGAGTGTCAAGGTTTCCATTTATTTTTCTTTGTGGTTCTGGGGAATGGATCCTGGGAAATCTCACATACAAAACACTACCTCTGAGCTACATCCCCCTAGACACTAAAATTTCTTTCGAAGTGAGGCATTTGGGTTGGGAGGTACTTGGACCCAGGGAGTAAAGCATTTGTCAGCATGAGGACCTTAGTTACCAAACTCAGATGGGGAAGATGTGAGGCTTCAGAATTCTCAAAAGATTAGAACCAAGTACCTTGGCTTACATAGAGGGGAGGGAAGATCCTGTGCTGAGCTGGGTAGCAGATAGGAGTTTGAGGCCAGACTAGACTACACAGAGTTCCAAACCAGCCAAAGCTACCTAATGAGAGCCTGTCTCATCTAAGACCCCTGCACAGATGTAGTCCATGGCAGTTCAGTGTCCAAGTAGGTTCCATTGTAATAGGAACAGGGACTGTCTCTGACATGAACTGATTGGCCTGCTCTTTGATCACCTCCCCTGAGGGGGGAAGCAGCGTTACCAGGCCACAGAAGAAGACAAGGCAGCCACTCCTGATGAGACCTAATTGACTAGGATCAGAAGGAAGGAAAAGAAGACCTCCCCTATCAGTGGACTTGGGGAGGGGCATGCATGCAGAGGGTGGAGGAAGGGAGGGATTGGGACGGGAGGAGGAAGGGAACCACAGGGGGGATACAAGGTGAATAAAGTGTAATTAATGAAGAAAAAAATAAGACAAGCAAACCACAAAAAAAAAAAAAAAAAAATGAAAGCTGGGAAGTTATTCTTAGACCACCCCCATGCACTGTGGCACACGGCTGTACACATCCACACAAACTTAAATGTGCATGCCTCGTACACACACTCACACATGTAAAGAATAAAGGGCAGCCAGGCATAGTGGCACACGGCTTTAATCCCAGCACTCTCAGAGGCAGAGGCAGAGGCAGAGGCAGGCCTGCCAGCCTGGTCTACATAGTGAATTCCGGAACAAGCAGGGCTAAACAGTGAGACAAAAGAGACAAACAAGCAGGGCATGGTGGCTCCTACCTTTAATCTCAGCACTGAGGGAGGCAGAGGCAGGCAGATCACTGTGAGTTCCAGGCCAGCCTGGTCTACAAATCTAGTCTAGGACAGGCTATACAGAGAAACCCTGTCTCAAAACAAACAGGCAAAACAAAAACTAAACGGCTTGTGATCTAAGGGAGGTTGTGAACAGAGAAGAGACGGTATTTGAGTGAATTCTGACAAGTCACCTTATTTTCTCAGGAAGACATCTGTTCCTGGCTCAGCTTACTCCCATCTTGTTTTCCTAAGCCTAGACACCACTTTCTTAGAGCTCCTCTCCTCCTCGTTCTCCCTGCTCTTTCTTGGGCCCATGCCAGGCTTTTAGAACCCATTGGCTAGGCAAGTTCTGCATGAGCTTGTGCAAAGTCCTGGTGAGAGAAGATGAGGACTTGAAGCCAGGCTGCAGAGGCAGAGACAACTGGCTTGAACCAGTGTCTCATCAATATGCTTGAATCTCAACATTGCAGAGAAGTGACTCACTTCTATGAGGTAGTCTCATGTGCTCACCTAAGACTTACCAAGAGCCTACTGTGTTGTTGGCGTATATACTCCTCACAACAACCCCTGTGAACAGTTTTCTGTGAGCTGCAACTTATAGGTAAGAGACCTGAAGAACAAAAGTCAAGAAGTTTGCCTAGCATGGCACACTGGAATATGCCACGCTGGAATGTGGATCCAGCCCATCTGTATCTGGCATTCAGCCCCAGAGACAGGCTGCTAGTGCCAACAGCAAGGAAAGGGACAAAACACGCTGGGGGACAGACTGAATGGATCTCTGTGAGTTCAAGGCCAGCCTGGTCTACACAGAGAGACCTCTCTCAACAAGCAAACCAGAATTATTTACAACAACAAAAGCATGCCACCTTTTACAGTTTAGTTCTGGTAGAGGACTTCAGTTACTTAGGGGAGGGAGGCAGAGCGTGACTGGCAATCTGCATAATGGCTGCTTAGCATGATTGCCATGTATTCTGATATTGGGATATTACTTTGGGAGTGGACTTTGCAAATTTGAGTAAACTGAGGCTCCGGGGTTGGGTTTGTCTTAGATTTTTCAAGTGGGTTTAGGGAAACCTCGAGGGTCCTCGCATGAGGGAAGCAGGTGGTGAGTCAGTGCAGCAGGGGGAGATGTGAAGATGTAAGCAGTGTTGGGCCATTTAAGGGGTGTGGAGTTCAGGTAGCTTCTACAAGCTAAAAACGGAATTTCTTGAGCCTCAAAAGGAACTTGACTCTCTGATGCTGTGGCCTGAATTGCTTCTTCTCCGAACATGTTGAAGTTCTAACACTACTGCCTCAGAATGGGACTTTGCATGGGATTTCCTTTGGAGATAGGGTCTTTGGGGTTGAGATGGGAGGCAAATACTTCAGTGAACCAAACAGGAACATGAATGTCCATTCCTGGTGTTCCTGAGTATTTGAAACCAAGATGTGCCCACACAGTCTGCATCTCTATGTAACCTCTAGAGGCCTCCTACTACTTTCCTCAGAGCCTGGGGATGGGGCAGTGACAACCCAGGGGCAGTGATCCCTCCTTAACCAGAGCTGCCAAACAGGAGCGACAGGAGTGCGGCGCAGGTGTCATACATGAGGAGGAGGAGCCACCACGTAGACTGATGTGTGGGCAGCAGGAGACTCAGCACAACCACTTAGGTTGCTACTCAGCTTCCTGACGCTGTGACAAAACACCAGAGACAAAAGAGAGGGAGGTGCAGCCTAGACAGCTTGGCAGGAATGAGCACTTGCCACCAAGCCCGGGGACCCAGTCCAAAACCTGGAGCCCAGACGGTAGAAGGAGAGAACTGACCACCGCAACTTGTTTTCTCATCTCTACATTCAAACCTCAGCGTGTGCATGTACCCCACACATACACATCAAATATAAACAGCTGGCGGTGGCGGCCCCACACATACACATCAAATATAAACAGCTGGCGGTGATGGCACACGCCTTTAGTACCAGCACTTGGGAGGCAGAGGCAGGTGGATCTCTGTGAGTTGCAAGGTCAGCCTGGTCTACAAAGTGAGTTCCAGGACATCCAGGGCTACACAGTGAAACCCTGTCTTGTAAAATCACAAACAAACAAACAGTTTTAAAATGGAGGGTGAGATAATTCCACAGCTAAAGGCACTTGCCACCAAGAAGGATGGCCAGAGTTTGATTCCCAGGCTCCATATGGTGGGAGGAGAGAGTAAACTTCTGAAAGTTGTCCTCTGGCCTCCACATACATGCCACATGCACACACACACACACACACACACACACACACACACACAGACCCTTTGAAACTTTGGCCCAGTACTTCCACTCTTTTCCAGAGAAAGTAACCCAAAGGCAGGAAAACTGGCGGTTAAGATGCCCATTGTGTAACAGTGGAGACTTGGAAGGCCCTCAGGGAGCACTGGGGATGGATCACTAAGCCACCTCACGTTTGCCTGTGGGAACGATGCTGAGCCATGTGTCTCTATCATTACACAGACTGTGTGGAGCCACGAAATTGCTTATTAAAATAAACAGCACCATTCAAATTGCATACAGTCAATGACTACAACCTAAAAAAGACAAATGAAAATCAGAGACTAGAAGAAAATAAACAAAAATGAGTGTAGTTTTTGTGTATGGCAGGAGCATTTGGGGTGAATTTTCTCCTTTGAATAAAAATTTATTTTTATTATTTTTAATTGTGTGTCTGCATGTAGGTATGTTCACATGACTTCA